AATAAAAACTTCTGTCTACTGGATAACCGAACCCGTGTCTGTCGTTTTCTGACACAGAGAATAATAGAGCAAGGGACAACTCTTCATCCAACTATTCTGAAGTTGATAAAAATGCCCTGGGCAGGGTCCTGACCCTAAAGAGGTTATGAGTGACTTTGGCCCAGGCACTTTCTCTCTTAGCCCAGCCCACCTCGGAGGGCTGTTCTGAGGAAAAATAGGAAAAGCACCATATGCACCACTCTGAACTCCTGTACAAAAGACAGGGCGTAAATCACATAATATATAAATCAAATCTGTTGGGTATCATTGTTAGAGCACTGTGGGAGACATCTCATCCTTTTTCCTCCCAAGCAACAGCCACTTTAAATATCACTGGATGATTAAACACTAGTATGGAAACATATATTTCAGGTCAAATGAAGTTTTGACTCCTTTTTCTGGTACTGTACTTTGTATTATGTAGGGAAGCCCTGAAAAGAGATCCTTGTAGAAACTAAGAACAAGCTTAATATTTTCTTACGTTTGTTTAAAAAGGGAAGAATATAAAATATTCAAGCTTCATTGCATTTTTTTCATCCCCACATATTTTTCAATGCTGCAGCCACTCCTGCCCTCTGGCCTATTCTGGTGCTACACAACAACGCAAGAGAGCACAGCTGGATTAGACTAACCCCCTAGGCTTTCCGGATATAGGGAGTAAGGAAGATGACCTTGACAGAGATAGGACAGATCTATTACCAAAGAGACACAAGGAAGAACATGACTTAAGTCCAAAACAGGAAGTAATGTGAAAGCAGCTTAGTCAGACACCTCCATAGTTCCCATTAGTACGGTGGGTGGGTGAGTAAAGCACAATCAGATTTGCAAGATTCTGTTATTATAGCCAATATTAGTAAAAGTAGTTTTAGTCTTCCATTGGAGTTGTTTTCTTGGTTGGTCTACATAGTGGGGCTCACACTGACCTGCTCTGCAGCCCAGGGGTCTCTGCAGGTAGGTCCTTTCAGTCATACTTAAGCCATGGATGCAAAATTATTATTCATCAACCAAGACTTGAAGCACATTAGCAGGCCTGAGGGTAGATCAGTGGTTTGCTGATTGAAACAATCATCAGAGAGAAATGACACAAGATACCTTACTTCTCTTCTTCTTACCTGCCATCTTACTTCCTCAAGACTATCCTAATCTCTCATCCTCCTTGTAAATATTGGTTCTCATCCTAATAGGGATTGAAGCAACCATTGTGTAACTAATTCATAGCTGCAAAGTCAGAGAAGGGAAAAGACTTACCTCCTCTCTGGTCCATAGTGAAGCTGTGATAAAAAAAGAAAGCAAGCCCCCCACTCTAACCTACACACAGAGATGTCTTGGTTCTCCACTGAAAATAGCTCACTTGCTGGAAGTCTTGTATCACCACTGCTTTGGTCTTCAAAACACTTTCAAAGGAGAACTTTGGGAGATGCATGCTTGAGAAAAATCACTTTCAGTTCAGGCAGCTACCAAAGCTCTGACATTATTCAGAGCACCCTCCTCCTTCCCCATGGTATTAGGAGAAATTTCCAGGGCACATAAACTAAAACGAGAAGCACACAAGGAAGTAGCCTTTGCTCTTCTTCCACCTCCAAAGTGGATCCCCCAATGATCAACCCCCTTCAGTGTCTCCTCCTTTGCCGTCAACCACAACAGCCTAATTCTGCTTCCAGCTTCAGATGAATACCTCCCTCATCTCTTATGAAGTTTATGGGGCCAGTTGATACCAATATCCAAGGGGCAAAGATCTTCTTACCCAGCCCTAAGTTAGCCCTTAGGAGAGTTTCCTAACTTCCTCCAGACCTAGGATGGGAAGTAGGGGAAGATGATCCTGGCTTTGACTTGATCCTACCTACTTTGTTTTGTTCTAACTACTTTGTCTAGTTCCCCAGACTCTCCCAAAGGTGGCCTCCATCTACATTATCTATGTGGACCTTCATTACATGCTCTTCATTACAAATCATAAGGACTGGAAATGGGACGAGCAAAGAAAAGCAGAAATGATCAGGATTCTGATGAACCTTACCAAGAGGTTTGAATTTCAGTCAGCATGGACTCTATCTCTAATTTTTATGTGGAAGAAAATGCCTACTATAGGTCTTGCCTTGGCTTTGTCTGTGACCTGGTTGCTGCAGAAAGAGAGTTGTTCTGTCACGGTGGTAGTAGAGGGAAAGTGCATCAGATGACAGCTCCCATTATGTTCATCCAGCATCACTAGCAGGCAGAATTTGGACCTCAACATTTTTGCAGGATCCCAGGTTTGCATGAAGATTAGGTTGAAAAGATAGTTCTGAAAGTCTAACTGGAAGTGAATACATGTGCAGAGTTTCTGCACTTTCTGAGCCTAGCAGAATTACGTGTGAACAATTTTATCCAGCAAGGTCAATAGTTGAATCCAGAAGGTATTTCAAAACTGGGTTTAATGGTGTGGGGTCAAATAAAACCCCTTCCATTGTAACTTTACCATGATTTCTGATTGGTAGCGTTAGAAGATGCTGATTGGGTTCTGGATGACAATTGTTATTATGCAATGATACCGCTGCATACGTGTATTTGATGAGATGTCATATTACTGTGGAATATGAACGCTCTGTGATGTGTGTAGGACAACAGATGTGGCTGTTTGCTACCTTGTCTGTTAAAAGATCTGGAGCTAGCAATAGAAACCTTAAGGGTTCTTTCACTGTAAGAAAGAACGGGATCTAAGAGCTGATGGACAACTGAAAGTAAACGTTGTAGAAAAGTAAATGTGATGAGAACAAATAGGCACGGAAAGGGAGTGTATCAGACCAAAGCAGCTTTTCAACTTTCTACCTGATATAAAACTCCAATGAATGTTAACACATGTCAAATGTCTGCAACATGTTACAAAAGTCACCCCCAATCTACTAGAATGTCTTAAGCACTTACTCTAATAATACATCCCCCGCTACTCTCTTTGGAGATTGGACTTTCCGCATTTGCTTTCAGCTTCGTTTATAAATAGACTCAAAATCCACTGGAGGGAGGGAAGGATTGTTAGTTCCTGGGTCCCATGCCAATCTTAGTGAGAAGTTGGCTCCTCATCATGGGTTGGGTGACAGCCTTGCTACAGAAGCTCCAAGATGGGTCATGTTTCTATCTCCACTTCATTGGCCAAAGAGGGTCAGATGAACATAACTGTCAGGTCCAAGGAGGAGGGAGAAGTGGGAGTGAAAGAGCAGTTAGGCAGAAAGGCCTTGATCCAGCAAAGGCAGTGGCCAGCCACAGGGAAGAACACAAGGTCTCCATTATAGAAACCATCTGCCAGATAAAGGTCCTTGGAATCTTGGGTTTCCGGAATGATTCCCAGGTGGACAGCAGTTCGACTGGTGGCCCAGGGAAGGAATTTTGCTACAGCAGCTGGCCATGATGAAGGATCCAGTGGTAAGTGAATTCAATAAAAGATATGACTGGTACTGCTACTGAAAATAACAATAACTCCAACAATACCTGGGAAAATCAAACAAAATCAAGGAAAAAGAATAGAAAAAAAAATATAAAATATAGAGATCTCATATAGACATTCCTTGGTACCTGGCTGGAGGTAGAATTTCCAAGGAACACCAATCAAAATGTGATTTTTTTTTTGTTTATTTGTACTGTGTTATTCCTTGATGTATAAAAACTAATAATAATAGTAATAGTAACAACAATAGAAAAATTGTGTACCT